CGACCACCTGGGGTTCTTTAACGTAGCACCCAACGCAATCAACGACTAAAATTGCGCGTCCGTCCGTGTTTATGTCACTTAGAACGGAAATAAACAATAAAAAACGTTGAAACCTACTGTTTATTGTTTAAAAAGAAAATAAACTCTCATACAGTGCTGGGAGTCGAACCTAGCCCCTCCGCTCTGAAGGCTAGCGTCTTATGTGTTAAGCTATACGCCGGCACCTGCAGAGCGCGAATGACATCAAGCCAGGTAACAGAAGAAAGAAGAGAAGAAGAAGAAGAAGAAGAAGAAGAAGAAGAAGAAGAAGAAGAAGAAGAAGAAGAAGAAGAAGAAGAAGAAGAAGAAGAAAGAAGAAGAAGAAGAAGAAGAAGAAGAAGAAGAAGAGAAGAAGAAGAAGAAGAAGAAGAAGAGAAGAAGAAGAAGAAAAGAAGAAGAAGAAGAAGAAGAAGAAGAAGAAGAAGAAGAAGAAGAAGAAGAAGAAGAAGAAGAAGAAGAAGAAGAAGAAGAAGAAGAAGAAGAAGAAGAAGAAGAAGAAGAAGAAGAAAGAAGAAGAAGAAGAAGAAGAAGAAGAAGAAGAAGAAGAAGAAGAAGAAGAAGAAGAAGAAGAAGAAGAAGAAGAAGAAGAAGAAGAAGAAGAAGAAGAAGAAGAAGAAGAAGAAGAAGAAGAAGAGAAGAAGAAGAAGAAGAAGAAGAAGAAGAAGAAGAAGAAGAAGAAGAAGAAGAAGAAGAAGAAGAAGAAGAAGAAGAAGAAGAAGAACTTCCTGTGGCGCCTTTGTGCGCCTTATGTTACTGTAAGGGCGACGTGAGTGGGCCGGCCGGAATGCACTGTAGTTTCTGAAACTGTTTTTAATTGTAGCAGAGTGCTATAGCTTAACCGTGCTGCACCTTTACTCATGACTCCAAAGAGAAAGATGCAGAGAGAGAACATGTATGGCCCAATCAGAGCGTGGAAATGGCCGTACACCGAAGCTGTCCATGGGTGACGATCCCCTTGCGGTTTTCCTTGCACCGACCCCTGGTGCCCTCAGTAGTACCATGAACCCTTCCTTACCGTGTTGCCTCGCCTCCGTGAACTTGCATTTCGGAGCCTCCACTGGCACTCGGCATCCGCTTCACGCAAAACTGCGTCTTTGACGCGGTGACGTCTATGCACTGTCTAGTGAGCTGGTGTGATGTCTTGACAACGCCGCTATATGTTTATCTGAAGGAATGAAAAAACTTTAATTATGAGCTCTCCGGTGAATGCACCGGAAAGCAGCACTCTCCTCTTCACGGGAATCCAAATACGTTTCACGCCGCCTGGCCCCTCGTAAGCAGCAGCTGGTCTTTCAGGGCGGGGCTGCAAAGCAAGATCCTCCATTGCTCTCAGGACCGTACAGTGTACAGGGGTGGGGTGAGAGAAGAGCGGTGACGGGTGATTTGGTTGAGTTACGTATTCCTATTATGTGTTCTAGTGTTCCCGGATCTTTGCACATGGGCCATTCCTGCCCGTTTTTGCTTGGCTGCATTATTTCAAATATTCGGAAGTGCAGGACGTCTCTCTATCTCTCTATTGCTCCCTGGAAAACTATGGATCTGAAGTGCGCGTGCTCACACCCAATCGGTCACAGCGAGATCGCCAGCCCTGGTGGATCAGCCACTGCGCTTGCTTGGAATATTTGGCGTACGGCGACTACTACGGCACAGGCTGGCGTCACGTACGCGTTACGACGCTTTAGTGCGTGCATGGCGTGCGCGCTTTCCATGTGCTTTTGTCCCTTCCTTTATGAACGCGACGCGACGCCAAATACACACGCCACACACGCTGACGCTTTGTAACGCGTACGTGTGGTTAGGGATTAAGACGGCTATGCTATAAAAAAAAATTCACCTCTTCTTCCCGGGCAAGGAAGAGATTAACTGCGAATTTGCTAGACTGCATCTTGCTAACAGTGATACTTGACAGTAGCATAAATTAATTTCAGCACAAATGCTTACACTTGACAAGTCAGTGAGGTGCCAGAGTACACCACATATGTACTACGAAAATCACTATTTCAATTTTTTTACACTCAACTTCATGCAATTCAGAGGACCCATGACATCGCGACGGACATTCGATCGATTTCTGGTTTCCTCGAGGACGGCGTCACCGGCTTGAATCGAGGGGAGGGGGGTCTTCGCTAAATATCATTTCCTCAAAACTACAATAAAACTATTTAGGTCATGTTACGTAAAGAAATAATTAAAGCATTTTGATTACAGAAGTGACGCTAGGATATCGTTTTATTAGAGAGTGGGAAAACCACATCAAGGGCGAGTTCATTCGGGAGGAGGGGGGACAGCTATTTGTGCAACTTATTCTTTGTGGTGAGGGCAAGGGGAGGCAGGCGAGGGGGGCAGCTACACCTCCGATGGGGGAACCCCAGATTGGTAACATCCAGCAAGCATGAGAAGCGAAACTTATCTTTGCGAGGGCTTTTCTGGGGCATTCGGCAATGGCTCTGGAGGATTCCGAGGCATTTCAGCTCATGAAACATTACTTAAAGCACCTTAACTGCTTCTCAGCTGCTGGAAACACCAATAACGTTGTATACTTACGAACTTTAAGATTTTTAACAATATTTGAACCAACATCAACTTTGCTCTCAAACTGAAGGTGCTCAGTTCGATAATTTCAGCAGGTATAAAAGAGGTGCGTGACATCAAAGATGGATCGCAAAATCAGAGTGTTCAGGAACGCCCAGTCCAAAAACAGATGTTTTTTACTGCTTTACAAGTGACCATTGTTGGATACCTGACCTTACACAGCAGAGATGTCGATTAAAAATGGCGAGATTGCATGTGCATGTCAAGTTGTCAACTTGCCCACCAAAAATGTATACTACTTTGAAAAATTGGTGGAGAAATGGACATTTCCACACAAGGGGGTACATAGAACAAAAAATATGCTGCTTAATCTGATGGCCCGTTTTGAGAGTGTATCAATATTATTGAACCCTGGGTATAGCTGGAACCAAGATTTTGCCAATCAGTCTTGTCCAAATCCCACATTGTCCATGAAGGTAAGAGCATTTGTCGAAACAACCCCGACAACACGCAGTGTTGAATATTATTCTCTTGAAGCCTTTATCTTCTGCTTTGTTTGGATTTCCATCTTGTGAGCATGTTGCATTTGTCGTTCCAATATATAGCAAACTATTTTATGAATGAGTCGCCAAGCAACGCCGTGTGTGCATTCAGGCTTGAGTCAAGGCAGCAGAGAAGCACTCAACTGGCCAAGAACTAGCAAGCGCTAATAAAGAAAACTTTACACACAATGCACGTTTTATTTGTGTGTGTTGCAGTAACCGCACAATGTAGAACAAATAATGTAAACGAACACAACAGCACAAGATGCTTGACAAAGAAACTGTTCAGAAATGTACACGTGTAGTCAAGTCAGATGAAGCTAGATGAGAACCCTCACTATACTGGGCAAAGACCATATGTGGTAGTACAATGAATTAGAACGAACATATTACATACTGTTATAAGCTCTGAATTGAACAAGCCATATTTGTAAGCAACCATATGCGTTAGTCAAAGGAAGCAAAAAGTACGCAAATGGTAGATGCCTAAAATTACTTGGTAAATGTGGAGCGATAGAAGAAAGACATATGCAGCTCTGCACATTTGCAGTTTTACAATAACTATACACAATTCGGAATACTTCTGAAAATCAGGATGTCTCACAAATAAGAACCTTAAATATAACGTCGCCTTCTAATAGACTGACCGCTACAAGTACGGCATTTGTTATATTCCTCAAAGGAGATTGCACACAAGTCAGTACCAATGGGCAAGTACACCGGCTGCAAACAACCGGTCAGTTTTCCTATCGAGGACGTCGCAGAGTGCATGAGTAGGACTATTTCTTTAGCCACAGGCAACCATGCTTCAGTTATCTGGGCGGTGCTTATATGGTCTTCTCAAGTTGCACCCGGCTACATATTGATCACAAGGGTTAAGGAAATGTATTCACCGCGTTTATCTTTATCACACAAACAATGGTGGACATGTATAGCTTGGAAGTAACCAAGCGGGTGGGGCAATTGCCTGCAAATTTTGCAAGGCTAGTTCCGCCGGGAACCTAATACACCCTAAATCCTAGCTGGCAAAAAAACGCCCCCTTCAAGACTATCAAAAGACACTAAATTGCACGTACTTTTGATCCCCTGATTGACAATTAATACTAGAAGTTCCCCGGGAAGGACTTCACACAAAAACATTCACAGCATATCCGCGTAGTGGGTGAGCGTCCGTCCGTCAACTATATATGAAATCGCGAACTATACAAAATCCGCTAACGCCATCTAGTGATGTTATTTCCTAGGACATAGAAACAACGCCATCTAATGAACAATTCTTAAAACTCACTAGAAGAGGCACAGTCGGGCTAGACTGCACCTTCCCGCGCTTCTTTCGCACAGGTGCAGTATAGCCCGGCTGTGCCTTTTCTAGTTAGTTTTAGGAATTGTTCATCAGATGGCATTGTTTTTATGTCCTAGGAAATAACATCACTAGATGGCGTTAGTGGATTTCGTATAATTCACGATGGCTGCTACTGCAACGTACTGCTGCGAGGGATAGGACCCACACCCTAAAGAGCTTGGCCCCTTTAAAGTAGGTAAACACCCCGCGGTACTTATCGTCCTCAGGCCCGTGTATTTGTTCTCCAAAAAAGCATACAGAGTAACACAGTAACAGACTAAATAAAAAGGGACAAGCATTACGTACCATACATGTCGAAGCAGGCTCCCATAATAAAGTTTTTTGTCATGATTATGATTGATTGATATTTGGGTATTAACATCCCAAAACCACCATATGATTATGAGAGACGCTGTAGCGGAGGTCTCCGGAGATTTCGACCACCTGGGGTTCTTTAACGTGCACCCAAATCTGAGCACACGGGCCTACAACATTTCCGCCTCCATCGGAAATGCAGCCGCCACAGCCGGGATATGATCCCGCGACCTGCGAGTCAGCAGCCGAGTACCTTAGCCACTAGACCACCGTGGCAGGGTTTTGTCATGATTATGGCCCACCCCCACATACCCTTCAGTCGCATTGTGCTCTGTTAGGCGTATTGGTGCTCTTACATGTTTACCGGCATGGCGAAGCAAAATCCAAAGCATGCAAAGCGCAATGCCGAGTTGAAAAGTCAATAGCAGCAGAAACAAACTGAAGAATGTAACAGCTAGTGAAGTGAAGCTCGCGGACCACAACCAGGTGACCAAGTGTGAGCAACAGACCATAAACGAATGCTGCAGACGCTCTCTAACCAGGATACAAAAAAAACAGATTCTAAAGAAATAAAGTCTATTAACCGCAAGTGACAATGCTTCAACTGAATCGCTTCATTGGACAAACGGGAACCTGCCGAGCGTGCCCGCACAACCTCAAGATCGAAGCAAAAGAAGCACCGAGTTCACTAGTGAATAGGAGAAATGGAAGAGCGTAAGATGCGCAACAACCACGTGCAAACACATTGACGCATGAAGGGAGCCTCCAGGTTACACAGATTGATAGATGCATTTAGCCAAGTTGCCCAGCTTTCCATGCAGTTTAAAGCTGAAGAGCATCAATACGCCACTACATGGCACAATGTTAACTTATGTTACTGTCATGACTAAGAAAAACATCCAAATAGGGTGACCAATTTAACTGCAATCACATAGGGTGGTGAAGTACAAGCATGGCAAAACGTTGCACTGAAAAACGTTACGCCTGTGCAACTTAATATGGGTCCCACATTATAACATTCATCAAAAACACTTCATTATCTGTATGGCGGCCGAACAGCGTAACATTTAAAAATGCGACATGATTGCAAGCCTTGAAATTTTCCTTGAAACAGCACTGTACGATAACATTGTCGTACACCAACGTGAAGATGTTTTACAGCATTTCATGGGCCCCCGGGGGGGGGGGGGGGTATCCGGAGATTGCTGGCATGTCTCGCGGGGGCAAGGTGAGATACAGTCCGTCGTCCACTCTTCATTCGCCATCGGTCACAGCACAGTGACGAGCAGCTACTCAGGAAGGAGTCCCTTTACGAAGTGGAGGCAGACGGGCAGGCCACATCGATGGGCTTTGCTGCACGACAGATTTCCCAGAAGACAAGCAAGAGGCAGGAACCCGAAGATGGCTCGTTGTGAACGAAGAAAGGCGTGGTCACAGGTTTCTGCAGATAATCCACCGGATGATATTGAAGGTAGAGAAGCTACAAGGGCGCCAAGAATTCTCGTTTATGTGTTGTGCACATACACAAGGTGCGCATATAGTAACGCAAGATCACGGGGAACACAATATTTTACACAATGATTCCTGCTTACCTAGTTGCCCAGGAATGGATGAAATAAGGGCTTTTTTCTGTAATTGGTAGTGCATCGGACGTGATATGCGGAAATTGTGGTTCTAATGCCACGGACAGAAGGGGAGATTTTCTCTACTCCGATTCCCATCAATTAACGACACAATTGCTAAGCAACAGTTAAAGACTGCAATGTATTCTATGCTTCCCCTGTGCTGATCGTTCAATTTATTTGGTCGCCACTAATAAGAAATGAGCCTATGAACACGATTCCCCTTTTGCTTGTTCGAAGCAGAAAGCCCACCATAGGGCACAGTTCACAGCGTAGGTTAGCACACAAGGTTTTATTAGTTATCAGCCGCCTCGTGCAAAAGTCAAGTGCCATGCTCTAACTAAAATGCTCCACACTCGTCACCTTGCCCACAAGCCTCTGGCTAACACTTCTAGACATTACATGCTCAGACACTCCAGTCGACAGAAACACTCATTCAAGTTCGATTGTTACAGCGTTAGACGTGTACTTTGAAGGTTGTGGGGTGTTATGCCTGCGAGTCCACAGCGAACGTCCATGCCTCTGAAAAAGGCAATCTGTGTCAAGGCCAGCACGCGAGCCCGCCTGACGCGAACAACTCAACGGCGTCATCACGCGGCGGTGCCTTTCTGTCGCGCACGCACAGTGAGTCACCTCAGCCAGCGAGCCCGTCGAAGCAATCGACGCCTTCCTGTCTGGCGAGTCTGACGCAATGCGTGGCGACGTCACTCGTCCTTGGGTGCAGCCACGTGCAGCGCAGCGGCTCCAGATTTGACGAGAATGACGCGGCCTAGCGGCGACCCCATTGGAGGATTGTGACCTCACGGCCAGCGGCGCTTCTGGTTGGACATTTGGTTACTCAAAGAATCCACCCGGTGCATATAAAAAAAAAAGCCCTGCGGCGCGTCGCGAGGAGTAGACCTATGTGTTAGAGAGGAGAGCTCGGCTCTTGGAGTCTCTGTCGGCCCCAGTGCCGAATTTGTAACGCCTCTGTATATATGCTGTACATAAACCTTGTTTAACTCGCCGTCGTCTCGTCCGCTCGTCTATCAGCTCTGCGCAGAAGCAGTCGCGAGCTGAGAAACCTACGCTACCAAATGGCTGGTGACCGTGTCGGCGGAGATCGGAGCAGTGGCGCCTTCGGGACCGTGTTGGCGTCACCGTCTTTCGTAACAGTGAGAGCAGCGGTGGGATTTCGTGGCGCCCTTCGTAACGTCGTCGGAGGCGCGCTTCGTAACAGGCGTCAGATTTCACAGATGAAATGGGTGCTTTTTCGTCCACTTTAACTCCTTTTCATTTGAATTATTACAATATGGTAGAGCAAATAAATTCGCCTATGCTTTCCTTGGCTTAGTTGTCTGTCCATTCATTTAGTAAAGCACACATAGAACAAGAGCACAGCGGACACTACATGACAGGAAGCGAAATGTCTGTTTAGCCTAGCAACAGTAACTATTTCCAGCCTTTGGAAGCTCTTGCAGCTTACACAATTTAACAGTATATATTCAGTTCCGCGTCGAAGTCCATGTCACAAAATCATATGTCTCCAGGCACACTAATGTGCTCGGTTTCGGCGAGATAATTCGTTATATTGCCAGTTTAATGTATTTCGCATGAAAAGTTCCACGCATGAAACACTAAGCGAAATATTCGTGGCGAGAACTTGCAGTCTGGAATCTAATCTACAGGCGAAAAGAGCAGGCATTAGCACTTGATTACACGTACGCAGCAGTACAATTACTGGTAGTAAAAACAGCGCAAGGTACTAAAATAGAAAGTGCAGGTGTAGAAAAAGAGTCCGTGACGTGGGGCGACTGGGTCTGTTAACGAGGTGATTTATCTGATCAGTACAGATTAAAGTTCTTCGAACTGGCCTCCTGGGCATAGATCAGCCACTATCGACGCGATTACCACGTTGCAAAGGCTCACCGAAAGTGAGGTGCCGTGAATGCAATGAGGTGTCGCACACCGACATGCTAAATGGCGGGGATGTCGTTGAATCTGGCCTCTCCGCCAGGGATTCATCAGCTATCATGCAGTCCCAGCTAACTTCTTCCTGAAGTTCAAGTCTGAAGGGTCAGTTTCGATGCTTTTCCCACCCTTTCATGGGCTGTCACTCGGCGATCAGTTAGACCAGCGGACTCCCAAGGAGCCTTTTCTGCTAGGGAATCGCAGTGGCACCAGTGTACCCTTGCACAACCATTTAAAAGAATTTATTTGGATACGTACCGACTCGATTGAGAAATTCTTCACCTGACCCACTCGCATTATCTCAAGGACATACCGGGTAGATATGCATGGAACAGCGGGCACAGGTATGCGAACACATGAACATCTTTCTGCTGACACACGCACATGCTTCCGAAATTTATTACCAGTGTGATAGTGAACAACTGGGCACCTCCACCCTTCTGCCCCTGAAGGGGAGCCCTGCGATTTACATACTCAAAACAAACGTAGCGACCATGAAAAATCTCTTGGTGGAGGGGGAAAATTCCAACCTTTAACATGCTCTAAAACATTTAATTTGATCACTAGATCTTGGAATACAAGACAATATTGGTTATTAACAAATTTACGCACACAAAAAGAAACATTACTGACGAGCGCCGAAGTAAACAAAAGTGAAATAAGAATAGAAATCATACCTAAATCGTTTATCGAGGCACGTCCATGATGTGCCAGTTGAAGTCGATGCAAACTCCAAAATGTAACAGGCCGACTGCAAATGACACGGTGAAAACAAGACAACCAGGTTTCGCACCAGGAAATAAATTATCCTGGAATGGTGGCCAAGAGCGCAATAATCCTGCATAGTGTTCACTAAACCGTCATGGGAGAAGACCTTCGACACCGGCACAGTCTCGTTAGAGGATTCACCTGCTATTTTGTTTGATGCCGCTGTTGAAGCTCGCAGCAAAGGTGATCCTTGTGGTGATCCCCGACAAGTTGCCGGTGATGAAACTCGTTGAACAAGGGCTCACACTTGCAAGTCCTGGCAGCGGCAGCACTTTTTATAACTGCAACAACATCGACGATAGCAGTTACTGAACTTTCAAAAAATGAAAAACACGATATCTTTACAAAACACGCTGTAGAGCGAGCTTAAGTTTTTTTTTTTTTTAGAGGGCAAAAGATTACTTAGATGCTGCGCGATCAACAGAAGCAGTAGCTAAATACTGATTGATATGTGGGGTTTAACGTCCCAAAACCACCATAAGATTATGAGAGACGCCGTAGTCGAGGACTCCGGAAATTTCGACCAGCACCCAAATCTGAGCACACGGGCCTACAACATTTCCGCCTCCATCGGAAATGCAGCCGCTGCAGCCGAGATTCAAACCCATGACCTGCGGGTCAGCAGCCGAGTACCTTAGCCACTAGACCACCGCGGCGGGGCACCGTAGCTAAATACTAACAGGCTAATCGTGAAAGGGCGGCTGTGCAAATACCAAGACGGAGAACACAAATGCAGTTTACATGGCCCAGCCCTCTTGTGTTGGTGGTTACAGACTCACAATAGAGGATTAATTCTTACCATTTTAAATTGTGATTGCTTTTTTAGCACATAACTATAGAGTATACAACGAAAATGAACGCAGTGAAGTATGGGCAACTGAAATTCGCGACGAGCTGGAGTCGGTCATCACTACCGTATATGCGCACAACACCGTAGAAAAGCGCATCCCAATACAAGAAAACCCCACTTAATGTAAACATTGAACAATGGTATTTACATAGTGTTCACGTGTTGTCACTTCCGCCATTGTCGACCTCTGCCGCCATGCCCGGGTACCTCCCCGAGTACCTACAGCAGTTCACGTGCTGCCGCACGGTTTGTTGAGGACTCGCCATCTATTGCTGTGCGCGGTGTTGAAAGAGAAGCCGTGCGATTTTTTTTTTGTTGTACTTCAACGAGCTAATCGGATCAGGAAGGCCTCGCTTGTTCACTCGATAAAAGACTAGAAAATCAAGATTTGTGGCACGTACACCAGTCATCGCGTCCACCGGTGGCCCACCACGACCTACGAGGGCCCATTATCTCGCTTTCACTACCAAAGTGCGTGGCCCAAGAACAGGTAAAAGCCCAGTGTCTCTAGCCGCAATTTTAAGAGTGGATCAGCGAAGCGCAGCAGCTCCCATCGAAAACGAGTCATCATGCAGAGCTAGGCAAGTTTACAAGAGATATAATATAGTTATTAGTTTTAATATATTGCTGTGGTCAACGCCACCACACTATCAGTGCGGCTCCCCAAATGTTTTAGACAGTGTTGATGTTGAGCCCCTGATTAGAATTTGTGGAAACATCCGATGATGACAATGAACAAACTTTATTAGCAGAAAGATCCTCCTCCCCTTTTAGGTGCGAGAGGAGAAGGGAGGACCAAACCTAGATGGCCATGATCCCATGGGCCCTGGCGGCGTCTTCGGCCTGCCGTATTAAGCGGGCTTGTAATTGAGAGTCAGAACTGAGAAGCGCGGTATCCCATCCACTCCCGTCCGGAAATTCGCCTCTCATGGGGGCCTGCGGGCATGCCCATAAAATGTGGCTCAAGTCCGCCCTGTTGTGGCAAAATTTACACTTGTCCGAATGAAGTTCCGGCACGCAGCGGTTCATTGTTACCGGACTAGGAAACGTGTGGGTCTGGAGTAGGCTGGAAACATCCGAGGAAAATGTGTGAGGTAAAGACTTCGCGTGGTGCGTGCCATGGCAATGGCGGTCACTTTTTTTTTGTGCGTACGTTTTCACGCATTTTATCTTCTATTTTACTTCTGCTGTTGTGCGCTAATATGCAGTGGAGTCCCTGAAAGTTATAATGACCATTTAAGAGAATCAATCAATCAATTAAAAAAACCTGACCCTCCAACTCGAACCGGTCGGCTATACTTCAAACCGCGAGCGCAATGAATATTGCTTCACAGCCATTTTCGCAGTTTGTTTCAGTGCAATACCCGGATTCCCGTAATCGCTTTCACGATTTTAAGTGCCTCCCTAACCCGCTGATTATGCAAACAGTGTTCACGGACAATTTTGCATGTGCTGTATCACGGTAAGCTATATCTCTTTTTGCAGGTACGTGCTTGGATATAGCACTTACCCGTAATGAAGGTACACCTGAAGACGCAAATATCACCGAGGTTCTTCAGGTCATTTTTGTTAATGTGCGCCAGCCAAACACGCTGGTGCTTTTCGGAAAATCGCAATGTGCGTTCTCAATTTTAGGTAATAACTTTCGGCGAAGAAACACCCCGAAGCTCTGCTCCCTTTTCGTGGACTACTAAATCAACTTGCCTCACTAGTAGTTGATAATTCATCAAACTTGCATCGTTAAGCAAAACTAAACGGGCGCAAGCACGCGTGGAAACAACACAGCAGTGGTAGGTGACGGAGTCAGTAGGTACCCGGGCATGTCGGTGGCGCATTTCGGAAGTGACTAAGGGGCGCTGCGTGACGCACGTGCACACTATGTATACTGATTACAGCATAATCGACTACGGCCAATAATACGTTACTTCAACTGTGAGGCTGCGTCAATAAACTGACTGAAACTTAGCAACGGTTACTATTCAAGTACAGTAACCAACCAGCACGAAGAAACCAGTCAAATTAACTCATTTCAAAAAGTACAACGCGCGCTTCCATGATAAACTAGCTACCACGCGTCGCACGCGGATGCAAACCAACAAGCGGCAGTGACATACCGAAATGTCAACTCAATGCACGCGCCCCACATGGCCGCGGCAACCACAGAGTCCAAGGTTCCGGATCCGAGCTTATCAACGCAACGATTAAGACGTCAAGTCACTATGTGGTGCGTAGTATCCCGCTTTGAGCACCCCCCCCCCCCCCCCACATTTGGACATGGTAACCTTTCAAAGAACGACGGCTGCAATTTACAAACCTCGAAGCAAGGCGGCCTTCCCCGCACTGGTCTAAAGGAAATACAGTAGTCATGCTTACTCGATGCAAAGCTGGTAGCACGTCAGCCTCGAATACTCCGTCGGTGATAATGCGGATTCGTGCAGGAGTGGCACGGGGTGTGTCATTACGTATAGTACGTGCCCTACGCCAGCGTTCCTGGAACGCAAGAAAAACTAGTTAGGAGATGAAATCACGCGTAGAAAAATAAATGCGGTCTCACGAATAATGCTTGGGCGCGAAGCCACGGCTGGTCCAGGTGCACTCGTATCGCCAAGTTCAAGCTGCAAAATAAAGAGGTCAAGGGGTTGGCATCTGCAAAGGGATCACGTGAACTGTGAAAAAACAAATCCTAGCTAGAATGGGTGGCCGATCCAACACGAGTGCACATTAACAGGTCCTCGACGCGACGCGTTGTGCAGACTTGAAGTTGAGACGTTCCTTTAAGTGTGAGGAGAAGCCTGGGGTAAGGACCGGGACGCCATGTTGTGACCCGCGAAAACCACATTGTGCACCAGCAACAATACTAGCACGAAACTATGGCCGCAGGTGAGCCACAGGCCTAAATAGGCTGTAGCCTAGTTAGGCCTGTGGCTCACCTGCGGCCATCATACCTAAGCCACCTGCCTAACTACCAGCTGAGCCTACTCTGTGCCTCAGGGAGTTAGACCCGTGGTGGCACTGTTCAAGGAACCCACTCGCTAAAGTTCACCGCAACCTTAAACTTCGGTAGATATGTAAATCTATAGCGAGTGATGTTTGGTGAACAACGCCCCAACACCTCAACGGCCTGTCATGATGTATATAGGGGGCTCACCAATTTGATGCCGAAGACGAACCTCGCAGAGGTCCTCCAACTTCAGGCAATGTGGTTTGTGGTGCATAACTCCATAAGGCCAAGTAAAAAGTCCACGGGTTAAGTCTACGCACACACACACACAAAAAAATGAAACGCGACTCGTACGTATTACGCCTATTGCATGGCCCGTGTCTGAAGCGAGCCATTCCACATGGCGCTGACAAATTGCCATCAACAGAATGCGCAGCGCGACCGGCTGCGAATGAACGATGAAGGCGAGAAGCCTGCATGCAACAATTTTTTTTTCTAACGGCGATTCTCCGATATTTGCGCATGCGCTGTTGCAGCCACATCTTTTGGTACCATTACGTCATGGGATCGTTCTTTGCCGTCTTATCGGCGAGATCTGCGCGCGGCGTACTGGCGCGTAATCTTCGGACTCAGATATTGACAGAAGCGTCACTTTTCATGGTGCGTGAAGTGAGACGAGTGCTTGATAGTACACCGCCTACTTGTGTGTATCAAAGTGCGATTCTTTATATTGTATTTTGCTCTATCCTGGTTTTGTATTACGGCGCGTACACAAGCGAATGGAAACGCGGTATTTTACGTGGGGCTAAAGATAGCACAAAGCAATTTTTGTGCATAGTTATTGCATAAAAGCTTAAATTTTCATCCTATAAACAAATCGTGGTTCTAGAACATAAACCTCACATATTGTAACCCGCACAGATATTGCACTCCAAGACCACATCTTCCGTGCAGCGTGAACCATGGCAGTAAGGTACGATCGAAATTGCCAGAACAATTGAATTCACGCTGCTTGAAAACCAATGAATCAGAACAAGAACAACGACACCACTTTTCAGATTTACTGTGCAACTTTTACAAACGCCATCAACGTGTGTTTGCTCTGCTTTTTATACATCTGATTTCTTTTGAGCATCAGCTGGGAATTTAAACTGCGAAGGTGCGTAAGCTGTCGCACGGAATCGCTCAATGTCGAGATGAGTATACAGCAACAAATGCCATGGGCGCGCGAGATAACGCAGCCACGGGCGAAACGTGGCGAAAGTGGGATGCGAAGCGAACGCTTTCGACCTACCAGTCAGGCAGACTGGAAACAGAAATAAACTAATGCAATCATACGCGCTCCATCTATCGTTAACTGCAGCAAGCATATCAGTTTCATCGCTTGGCGGCGCTGACCTGAGTCCAAGCGCTGACCTGACTCCCTAAGAAATGAGACGAGCCTAGAGCAGAGTTTTATAACTACAGCCCAAGGTGCTAGGCT